GAGGAAGGGGCCACGCACTCTTGGCCATCTTCCTCCTTGTCCCAGCAGCATCAATCCCTACGGCTTCTCCCTCATGGCTCCCAGCTTCTTTCCAGATGCTAGCATGGGCTCACACTTCAAAGCAGCCCGTCAGAGCTCTCAGCCTGAGAAGACCGCCAAGTCTTCGGCAGGCACTTGAAGGGATTCAGACAAGTTGACTCAAGGAAAACACAAGATCATTTTCTGCATTGTAGATCAAATGCAAATAAGAGACAGAAGGCGCTAAACCATAATCAAGCCATAGAAAACTTGAGCTGAGCGAAGCTTCCTTTTCTTCCTTTTAGAACCCTGGGTGCCCCCCCACCCCCCAACCCCTGCTGGACCACCCTCCTCCCTCCTCCAGGAGGACAGAGTTCTGAGCTGGCCACGGAGGAGTCGGCCCACGTGCCCATCAGGTACTCCCAGTCACCCGGAGAAGCAGCTGGTCCCTGTGCCAGGCTCCATTCCCGCAGCGGCTTCCTGTTTAGCTGAGTTACAGCAATGCAAACGGGTGGGGAAGCCACCCTCTTAAGACAAGTAAGACTAGAGCCGTGGGCTTCGTGTACCCATTTGCAAAATGCAATGATGGGGGCTTCGGCAGTTCCCTTACAGAAGACTGACATTTAGAATGAAGGAGCTTGTGCGTTATTTACATTGTCTCAGCTTTACTCATTAAACTAAACCAGATTAAACTCCCATTTGCCCCCATCCCAGACGTGTATTCCTATCTGATGAGACAGAGGGAGCTGGCCATGCTTTTTTCTCTCCAGGGCTTTCTTAATGACTTTCCCTTCCAGATAACAAGGCGATTCACCACCCCTTCTGCCCCTGCGTCCCTGCTCCAGTATCCTGGGTGCCGACTCAGAGCAGACAGCCAGCCCTGCTAGAGCTCCCAGGCTGACTTCATCCCTTTCTAGGCTGTGCCTTTGACCCTCTGCTGCCCACCACATGGGCAGGTGTTTGCAGAGGCTCCTAACTTCCTCGGCCGCCCCTTCCTAGCAACCAGAGGCTCTGGGATGTGATGGGTGGGGGCTCTGGTGCTGGAAGACGGAGGGCCCCTCGGGACCTCATTCTATTTGACTAGAGAGCGTGGTTTCCACCAATGGCGACCGTGTGCCTGCCATGCAGGAGGACTAAAGAGACAGAACGCAAGATGATGGCCAAAGTGGTCGCTGTACATTCTGACTAAGCACTGGGGATGCCGTGCCCGCCAGTTGGTCTAAAGGGATGATTTCTTTATAAAGGCTATAAAGCATGTCCTGGATACGAGACAAAGCAAACATTTAAGCACCAAACAATGAACCCACAGCTCTCAGGACTGAGTAGAATCCAGGACGCCCCCAGGAGCCAGAGGGCTCTGAGCGAGGGGCTTCGGGGCCAGGTCAGGGAGCGAGAGGAACTGCCCAAGGGTCTTGGAGGGATGGAGGCAGAAGTCCCGAGGCTGATCACTGAATACCAGGCTTTGTGGGTGGGTATGTTTGGAGCAAAAAAGAGAAAAGCATGTGTGTTTACGGTAGAAAACCTGTTCTGTGCGCTCTGAGGCAGGGAAGCTCCAGCAAGCGGCTTCTGTCACTGTGCAGCTAGCTTCAGCATGATCACTGATTGGATTAAACACCTTTATAATTCCAGTTTAAAGTCAGAGTCATACCATATTTTTAAAGTCACAGAAGAAAGCCACGAGGCCAGGCCCTAACTAGGCTGCAGGACTGGAGAACGAGGTCCTGCATGTCCTCCGACCTTGCAGCTCTGGGCCCTGGGGAGCCCTGCTCAGTGGCTCTGATTCCATTTGCGTGGGGTGTGGACAGAAGGGGTGTTTTGCCAGAAGTCCCCCCAGGTGATTCCCAGATGTGGCCAGAGAGAGAGGGCCTATGGCCCTCAAGGCGAGCGGAAGGGTGATTTTCCTGGGGGCAATCTCGCAATAAAGTCAGAGGTCAGCCTACCTTGGCAAGGGAGTTCCCGCTGGGAGTAAAGCCTGAGAGGATTCTGCGTCCGAACAGAAGCAGCCTCCCCGCGGCCGCCTGGAGCGCTGGGGCACGCGGGAGGCCGGGCTGGTGAACCTGACTTTTAAGGCTCGAGGAGGACAGAGACATCACCACGTGTGGACTAGCACTGCCAAATGCAACTGTCCCCATGAGGAGGACCGGAGTATGGGGGTCCAGCACGGGTACCTGGAACCACAGACCTTCCAGATCTCCACTGCGGCCGTGCTCGGAGCCGCCTTCCTGGACCAAACGTGCGCAATTTCTCTCCCTGGAAATTAGCACATGGACTGCTGTGTGTTTTGTCTTCCTGCTCATTGCCTGCGTGCTCTCTGCTGGAGAAGCTGAAGGTCGGGACGGCAGTCAGCATTCAGCAGCAGGAGCAGAATCCGGGGCCTGAATAATTCATAGATTTAAACCAACCATTCCCCACTCCCGCCCCGCCCCACCCCGCCAAGCCAGTGGGTTTCTATAGGAAAGATTTACTCAGATGGAAAGTGTGCACATGCCATTTCCACCATGAAGCTCTCCCTCGTCCTCGCAGCTGCACACAAACTCTCACTTCCTAAACACACCAGCTGGATTGCTCACCCGGTATCATAGTTTCTTGGGCACTTGCCTACAAAGGTCCCCAGGCCCGTCACCCGAGGCTGCGGAACAAGCAAGTTCACATTTGACAAATCCTGGCATCTCCTGCAGCTTTCTGTCTGAGGCCCTGTGGACAGCAGGCGTTCGCTAAGCATCCTTTGCACAGGCGAGTGAATAAATGGATGAATCACTTTAGCTGTTACAAAGGATCAAGAACAACAGAACTCAGCCCTCCTGAGACAGACACTGTTAAAATATACATAGGTAGCTTAGGTAACTCATTCTCAGACGGAGAAGTCAGGGCCTTGCATCCCTCCCACTGTGTGGTCTCTAAGAGGCTGCCGGCCCGGCTTGGG